ACCACTATTTTGCATATTCATTTTTCATGTTCTTAAACATCATTCAACAATAAAAGTATCTACCTAAGCAACCTAACATCACAATTCAAGTTCACACCTACACTAACATTTTCATTCTTTCATACTATACAAAATCTACTTAATTAATCATCTTAGAGGAGTTTCTTACCTTTATTGAAAGAAGATTCAAGAGAATTTCAAAAGAGAAAACTTAATTTTCTTCGCTTTTACTTCCAATTTTTGTAAAACCCTCAATTTTAATTCTTGTTTCCTCCCTTAGTTGCTTGAATTACATTACTTAATCCCTTATAAACCCTTTTAAAATTCTTAATCTAAGTGGAAAGGAGTTTTCTGATGAAAAAATTAGTGAAAATTTTTTCTTCTTTTTTTTCTTCTAGCATTTGACAATCTTTGCTTTCATAGGAAGCCAAATAGCTATTTATATAGGATATTTTTATTTAGTTATACATTGGCTCTAATTTCCTCTAAATATAACAATGCCCTAAATTTAATTTCTTAATTATACAAGCTTCCTTTCTCTTATCATTTCCAATTTCAATCATACCTATACATTTTTAGGTTTTTAACATTGTTGCATTTTTCTCTTTTTATTTTCCAATTAATTTGTTTTATGCCCAGATCAAATTTATATTTTTAAATGTTTTCAACCGAGATTTACATCAATGTTATATTAGTCTTTCATTTCCTTCATCCACACCCTTTTCATCCAACACAATTTAAAAAAAAAAAACTTTAATTTAACCCATTTTATCTCTGGTTTGAGTTTTAATATTTTTTTGACTTGAAAAATTCTAACCAATGATTTACACTAATCTACTTCCAAAACTTGTTTAATATATGCAAATAATTTTTAACAAGAACATGATTTTTTGAAAACAAAAATGTAAGGTGATGGACGCTTACCTTGTGCTCACATGAAGTATGGTTTTGACAAGTCAGGTTCCATCATGTACGTTCCCCTCTAGAACTTTTGTTGTACATGCTCCTAATAAGTTAGGTCTCACTCTAGACATTTCTTTTGCAACTCCAAAGCAATAACAATTAATATTATTTTAACCAAATACACATCTAATTATTCATTTAACAATCAATTCAACCTAAACATATAAATACACAAGTCATCACATGCATCTGCCTAATCTTAGCCTCTTTTGAGCATTAGCAACATGTACATAATGAATCTATTTTTTCAATTTTAAATTTTATCATAATACAATTTTGCATTCAATACACAATTTAGCATTTCAATATTATAATTTCATATTTAAACACCCAAGTTAGAAATTTTATATTATCAATTTCATATTCAAATAAAGAATACAATTTAGCACCTTCATATTACGGGTCCAAATATATTACAACTCATTTATGAATATTCATATTTCCAATTAAAGTTTCAAACCTAGGAGTTTTCATATTTCTATGATACCTTAAATTTCCACTCACATAACAACCATTAATTAATGTTCACATTACTAATTGAAGTTCAACTATAGAAATCTCTATACATCTAAAATTACAATTGATATCCAAACATATTACAAACAGCAATTTCTTGTACAATCCATAAATCAATATTCATACCATTAGATTAAATCCTCACTTATGAGTTTTACCTATCTAAATTTCAATTTAATGCCTACCACATCACAAACCAATAATTAATTTTCATGTTATCAATTTAGAGTTTTAACATGCGGATTTCACACTTCCATAATTTCTATATATAATTCCTTACTTTGATATTAACAAACACATAACAACTTGATGCAAATTTTCTTAAATTCATTTCTTGGCTAGGTATATTTCAACACCAATAATTTAAAGATTTAGCCTAAACAATCAATTATATTCAATATGCAAATTTCTCACATTTGTGAAATTCAATTTTTCATTTCTCGTAGCCTCATATATAATCATACACCTTATAATATTCATACTTAAAACCAAACATGTAAAACTTCACAATGACATATATTAACCAAGAATCAATATCAATTATTCAGAATTCTTCAAAATTAAATTATTCAAATCAATTTAGGGTTTTAACATGGGGTTTCACACTTTCATATTTTTTATCTAATGCCTAAATACACAATTCCCTACTTTCATATTGATGAACACATAACAACTTGACCCAAATTTTCTCCAACTTACTCCCTTGTTAGGAAAATTTCAACACCAATAATTTAAAGATTTAGCCCAAACAACTAATTAAATTCAATATGTCAATTTCTCACAATTATAAAATTTAATTTTCATTTCTTGTAGCCACACATATAATAATCAACCTTATCTCATTCACATTCAAAATAAAAAATATAAAATCTTCACAACGACATAAATGAACCAAGAATCAAGATCAATTATTTAGAATTCTCTAAAATTCTCAAAACTAGCATTTCAACCACTTCTAAATTAAACCTTTTAGGTGATCAAATATCTTCAATTGTTTCTCAATTCATTAATTTCCAAACACTAATTAACCTAATATTTAGTCAATAAACATCTTAACCACAACAAACCTAGGATTTCACATTCCTATATTTTCCAAGAACATGCCCACAGGTTTCCAATCATGCAATAATCTCAAATTTCATCCAAATTACAGTAAATTAAACTCACATCATAAATTAATGTAAAAGTTATCAAATCTAATTCTCGCATATTTTTTTTTATCTTAGGCCGACCACTAAACAATCAAGGAACGCATGTTTTTGCTTCAATTTCACTTCATACATTAATTTCTTTTTACACTACATACATAGGTTACTCCTTATATCCAATTTGTTTAGTTAACATCTTCACATTAATGCTCCAAAAATCCAATTTTTATTCTTTCTAAAACATAGACTAAAGCATGCAAATCATGCTTCCACCTAAAACCCTACCCCAATTACAATTTTCTCACATTTCTGGTATTTGTACATATCATCTTAACAAGTAATTTCTTATGAAATCACAATGACATTATTTGTAAGCAAGTCTTAACCCATCCAACATCATTTAGATACCAAGAATAAACAAAATATAATCACAATTCTAATTTCCCCTAGTTTTTTGAATTATGATCACCTAGTACCTTTTAATATTTGTATGATTGACCTTTAATCTCATTAATTTAGTGCATAATCATGTTATTCCATCTCAATTCATCAACAATTAACATAAATTCATTATTCTCAAAACAAATCACATAAACCCTAAAATTCAAGATTTGGGGGTTTTCCAATTCTTCGTACCATTGACTCAATTTAAAACATTTCTATACATTCTCTTAACCCAAACATTCCACCATAAAAATTATTATGAACCTTGATTTCAAGAATTGAGAAAATTTTGATGCAAACATAAAAATTCATTAACACATGAAATTAATTGATTAGAACCCCTTAACACAATTAAAGCAACAAAATAGAATGTGTTTATTAAAAAACATTCCAAGGTTTCCCTCTTTCTATTCACCTTTTCACACTCTCTAACTTTCCAAGCTTCCAACTCCTCTCTCTCTCTCTCTCTATCTCTATCTCTCTATGGGTGTCTAATTTAGCTGTCTTTCTTATTAAAATCATTCTTCCCCATTTAGATTTTAAAACAAATACAAGAGAATTAAAGAAAAAGGAAGAGAAACTTTGGTGTTCTCTCTTTTCCATGGCTGACATGTTTGCTTAAATGGAGGGGGAACTTTTTATTTTATTTATCAAAATATTAGATGGAATTCAGTAAAAATCCTCATTCATTGATAATTCTTTAATGCACCAAACTTATTATTATTTCATATAGATTTAATATAGCTTAATTTATTTTTTCACCACTAGTGATAGCAAAGTCTCCTCAAGAGTTTCACCATATTCAGTTAGAAATTCATGCGATTAAACATAAGGTTTACATTGATAATTGTTATTTTCACCCACAAATTTATACTACATTCCATTTGGGTTTTTTAGTACTTAACCAAGGACTTTTACTAATAGCCACAAAAATTTTCTTTTAAATCTTTATTTTGTCTTGATTGGGGATTTATATGATTTATCACAAGGTTGGCATTTCACACACCAATTTATTACTTTATTTTGTTTGAGATTTTAGCTAATTTACAAGGGATCTTCACCCCTAATCATATAAATTTTTCTTTAAAATTATTATTTTTTGGTTGAGAATTACCCTATTTAATCATTAGTTTACAATTTTTGTTTGAGGGTTTACATGGCCCAAGTCAATCCAAGTTAACCTTCTAATTTTATTACCTAATTTATAAGACTGATACAACTTGATATTAAATAAATAAAAATAAATTATAAAATTCAATTCTTAATTAACTTATTGTTGAATGTATTTTAAAAAAACATAATAAAACAATATAGGTCAATTTAGTGGCTCAAATCATGAAAACGAGATAACTTTATAGAAAGCAAACTAAAACATATCAGAAAGTCTAATTCTCAATTAACCCAATATTAAAAGAAAAAACCATTAAAAAAATAATATTAAAAGAAAAAATTAAAAGAAAAAACCAATAAAAAAACAAAAAAAAACCTAATCAATCGGACTAAATCACCAAATCAGCAACTTAGATCATGATGTTATGATAACCATATAGAAAGAAAAAAATTATAAAATATATTTTTTAATAATTAAAATATTAAATGATTAAATTAAAAAAATTATATTTAAAATTACCTAAAAAAATAGAAACAAAACATTATTATAATAAATAATGTATGTATGGTGATTCATGTTTAAATCACTAGCTCTTTAACGTTTTGTTAATAATAATAATTAACGGGTAAATTTGGACACAAGTTAATGGCCTTGGTTATTTACAAGGCATGGAATAGAGGCACCTAGACCTCTCATTCCGGGCTAATTTGGAGCTCTACGGACTCCGGTTTTAGACTCTGAGGTGAAGTTCCTTAACTTAATTTGGAAAAATCATATTTTTATATAAGAGGTAACAAATTTGAAAATCTCTCTCAAAACCCAAACCCCTAGAGATAATCTTCAATTGAGATGTCCCCTTCTCTCATTCCAGTATTGTTTCCATGCCAATTACCACCATGATCGCCACCTCCAGTTTCGCATAACTGATCTGTCTCTAGTCCACGATTAACTGCACCACTTGCATTCCAGAACTTGACCTCATTTTCTGGTACCCTGTTCATTATCATTTGAGCATCAATTGCCATGCCAGCATCTGAAGCAGCTTTCTGTATGGACTTAGGTGACATGTCTTCCCTTACACTTGCAGGCAACATTAGAGGGAAATTCAGACTCTCTATCGAAGAAGGTCCACGTAAACAATAAGAGGCTATGTCATAAGCCACCGCAGCCGCCTCGGGTGTGGAGTAAGAACCTAACCAAAGTCGATCTTGCTTGCCAGGAACCCTTATTTCAGACACCCACTTGCCCCATTTCCGCCTCCTCACTCCCTTGAATTTCTTCCGAGCTGCACTTGCTCCCCTTTCTTGATCTGTTCTGCTGCTGCTGCTGCTGCCACTCATTCTTGTGCAAGAAAGTAATTTCTCTTTCCTTTTTCTTCTTTTGACGGGCTATACCTGCGGTTTTGCGAGTTCAAACTTTCTTAAAAAACGCTCAAGAGATCGATCGAGCTTGTAAGGATAAAGAAAGGTTGAAGTGCTTATATAGGTTGAGGAAGTGCAAATTCAAATCCAAAATATAAGTTAATTACCACAAAAGTCAAAAATTTCAAACCTCAAAATAATGAATGCTATTTTGATAGTTTGGAGGCTAGTGGGCGATTGATTATTTAGTAGAAATATCCAAATCCAAGTGGGATTAGGGCGGAATGGCTGCATGTGGTCGTTTTGAGAGAAACATGAGGAGGCTATAGAAATCGTTTTAGAGAAGAGAGTGCCTGGTCTTTGTATTTGGCTCCAAAACGTGTTGATGAATTTAATGTCGGCCCACGAATGGCTAAACAAGATATCGAAAAGGTAGATGGAGGCAAAAACCCACGCGTTCACATTTGTGCTGTCTTGATGTCGTTTCCACGTCAGTCATTGTCTCCATATGCAAGTAACAAGATGAGCCGACCAGAACCTGAAGGTAGCTGGTGATATTTTAGGTTTGTTTTTTAATAATTATAAGTTTGTGTTATTTTAGGTTTATGGAAGGTTTTATGGTTATTAATTTTAAAATTATTTAAATATTTATATCAATAAAAAGAATGAGCCCACCAGACCCATATTACTACTTTTATTATTTTTTATTATTATTCTTATGCTTTTTGTGTATTCAGGGTAATTAAACTAGCATTCTGTTCTCTGCTCTTATTCTCCGGAAAGGAAAAAAAGAATTATGAGGTCCAATTAACTTCTCTTTGTATAATTATTATTTATTTATGTAAATTAAGATATATTTTTTTTTAACATGATGCATCTCTTGCATCGTTTAATGCATAGTTTTAAAACCCGGCCCGGCCCGGCAGGTTGACCCTGGACCCGGCCGACCCGGGGCTGGAACCGGGCCGGGTTGATGAAAAAATAAGGTAAGCT